AGGAGAGGAGAGGAGAGGAGAGGAGAGGAGAGGAGAGGAGAGGAGAGACTGTAAAAAACATTTTAACCAAAGATCATTAATGGGGCCCTTAACTGACAGTATGTAAAGAGATGAGAAAGAAGATCTTCTAAATGGCAGGAAATTCTTCAAACTTCCATTCAGTGTCTTGATACGTGAAAAAGGTTGCGCTGCACCTTATGTTGGAGATTTCTGTCATTAAGGCACATTAACATTGCCCCAGCAAGGCGAGCTCGTGTTGTGTCAGCTCTGCATACCAGCCCGCATACGTAGGATTTCACACCGTCACAACAGGAAGATTTTACTTGTCCATCAATGGCTAGGAAATGCCAGATAAGCGGACAAAGGAAAATGGCATAGCAAGATTAGGCAACTTCTTTATGAAATGGGTTTCTCATACTAGAAAGATGAACAGGACTCCAAAGAGCACTCACCCTCTCCTGTCGCAGCCAAGCATCTTTCACTGACAGCAGGCATCCCACACAGACTGGGTGAGAAGGTTTCACCCGTACCCACCCACCTACCCAGGTCCCCTCCAGAAGCAGCTCCCAGTGGCCACCTGGCAGTTCTGTGACATTATCCTCTGTACCTGCCTGACTCATGTTGCTTCATATCTTCCACTTGTCCTGCTGCTCTCACTGGGACATTTGGGAGCTCTTTGGGTCTGCATCTCAGTGAGATCTTTCAGCACCAAAAAATGTAATGGGATGAATCATGCATGCACTGGATGTTTAAGGTATGTGTATCTGTGTCTCCCTACTAATTTTTCAATCTGATTTCCAATTTCAACCAAGTCTGACAGAGGGGAAAATGATGCTGGGGCACAAAGTCCCTACAGGCTCTGCAAAAACAAGCATATAGAGGAAATTGGCAAGGCAATGGGGCAACCAGGCCTGCAACTCATAGACCTGCTTGATTCAATAACAACTCATGTCTGTGCATGACTGGTGGGCAATATGCACCCTCCTGCAGGCTCACAAATGAAATAGAGCCTGATGGCTCCTTTCCACCATTAGCACCAGCAGAGCAACACACAGAGAAATTCAGCCTCAATGTATATTTCCCTGATCTACACAGGGATCTGTGCTTTCAAGAAGAGTTGGAAGTGCATTAGAGCTAGAGCAGCAACACAGGAAATCAGGGTCACGCTGACATTTTTCATTCCCAGAGGCATCCTATGTTGTTCAGTGCTGGAAAACATGAAAACATCAGGTCTTGAAAAAGGGAAGGGGAATCAAGTGTGCCTGCTGTTAGAATTTGGAGGAGACCCGACATGAAACTCTCATGTACCCTTTTCTCCTGCTGCCCATATGTGGCTTGATTTGCAGTGCTGTGAGATTGGCCCATCAAGAGCCCAAGTTTTGATTGCTCCTCCCTAAATCCTGCTCTTTCTGCAGTACTACCAGGCTCCAGTGTTTTCCTGAAATATCAAGAACACCAGGTTTGATGGGCTTAGAAATGCAAACTGTTCCTCTGAAGAATCCAGAATCTGTCCTCAGGAACTTAGGAGACATCAACAGGAAGATGAATTAGATACTCAACAGACCAAATTCTCCAAACTGAGGGTACACAGCTCCATGCAAGCATTGTATGAGCACAAATGCTCTTGGTGACACCCTCTAGCTCTGCACACACACTCATACACCCAAATACACCCACACTGGAAACTGAACAAACATGTGGATTGACACTCTAATGTTCAGGGTCATGTCAAGTTAGGCTGTGCTGAGAGGTTCCTCTTTTCTCAGGGCTGTTCTAACAATCACCACTTTCTAGAATCTTGTTTCTACTGACATCAATCCATGCTCCTTGAGGAGATGTCTACTGTTTCTCTCCCAGGGAAACGTAAATCTTCACAAAGCAACCACTGGCAAGGTACTTCCACACATGCAAGCCAACTCAATCCTATATTTTTGAACAATGCCTATTTTTGAGAAGGAAGCAGCTATTATTTCAGACAGTCTTTCTGTAATGAAGCCTAGATCATGTGAGTATTTTCTTACATAGCTGTGGAGAAGCAATCATGCCTGAGCCATAAGACCATACCGTGTACTTGCTCTGTAAATACCCAGCTTCATATCTGTCTAGCTTATTGTATATGCAAACCAAGACATTTTTGCACAAAACCACAATGGGAAAGAGGTAACTATCTTCAAAATTGTATACATCTTTTTCTTCCTAAAAACTCACCAAAGAGTCTTCCTACCTCTGGGGCAATGTTTCTGCGATTATGTGCAAAAACATGTACACATTATATGACTATAGGAATCACGACTGCAGTGTGCCAATGCCATAGGAAAAGCCTGTCTCTGTGTGTTCACCTTAAAATCTGAATTCTCCACGTCTTTCCTAAACAAGGGTCCATAATCACAGTCCTGGTTGCACAAATAAGACAAATATCTGAGATACAGAGATTCAAGCAGGTCTGACATTTCACCAAGCAGGAGGCAGCAGTGACCTACACACCCCAGCTGATGCATTTCACAAGAAACTGCAAGTCGCTTCAGCAAAATATGACTCCTTTGATACCTTCCTGTTTAATTTAATGCAGACTTTTAATATCCAAAGAGACCCACTGCTTTGAAATGAGGAAACTCGGTCAAAGACTTCGGCAGTCAGCCCACAGCTGGCAAGCACAGCTCAGGGGCCTAAAATACAACTGCTCACTAGACTTGTGTTTGGAGACAATGGAGCTTTCAAAATTAAGGCTTGTATATGCAGGCAAATTTATCAGCCTAATTATACTGGCATAATTAGGACGATAAATTTCCCTGTGTAGACAAGTCCTGAATCTCTCAAGCTCATAACTGGGCAGGTATTTCAGAGAGAGAGGGAAAAAGGGGGAAAAAGCCACTTCTGGAATATCCAAGTAATAAATTCTCTCTCTCTCTCTTTCATATTTTCCCCCAAGATTCTTTTTTTTCATCCAAATGAACAGTGTATTTCATTTCCAAACTGAGATCTGGAAGAACCATTGGTACATGTGTTTTTTAGACAAATCAGAAACAACAAATACAAATATGCCTTGAATCTGCACTGGTCAGTCTCTTGATCCAGAAAAACCCAAACACATTGGCAGAGCCCAGTAGGCAGACCACTCTCCATTCTACTTTGAAGGACACAATGAAGCAGGTTGCCCACTATTTAGAACGGTGCATCTAATGTGAGACTCTCAGACACTCCTGTCTGTGCAAAAGCCTCAGAAGAAGCCTGCACTGTTCAGAATAGTGGTCCAGGCACGCCAGAAACGATGCCATTGTTAACGCTCTTCCTTTCCATGCCTCCCTTGCCAATCTTTCCACATAAGAGCATCACATAACTCCCCTGTGAAGCTGCCAATCCCACAATATAGACCAAGTCTAATTTGGAAAAAGTGCAAGATATCTAACCAGTGCTCTCTGGTTTGTGTGTGCATAGGAAGTCTCATCCCAGGCACCTCATGCGCTTCACTCCACTTCACCATCTTGGAGCTGCCTAAAAACAGTAAGGGCCATATT